AGACGTATGTTTTTTGAAATGAAGTATCTGCCATTACCATTTCTGTGGTCAATGAATCAGACTAATTTTAACCCAGGAGATAACCTCCTGTGGGTCACTGAGTGACACTACTGGACTCCTGCCTTACTCTTCATGCTTTCAGACTTCATACAGTCTGAAAATTATGTCAGTTTTAAAGCTGGTGAAAGGCTCAGCTGACAGCCCTGTAAAAGACAATCTGTTCATCCCCAGAGGAACCGTAACTCAGACACAAGGGCAGAGCCCCTTGGCCTCCTCCCTTCGCCATCGCAGAAGCACGTCGAAAGGTAAGCGCAGTTCTGACCATCCATCTCCTTCAGTGGCCGTGCCAGAGAGAGTCCCGCAGTTACTGGCAGGGACCAGATGTGCCTGCAGCTTACGTTTTGGACACTGGGGATGTTAGCAGTTGCTGAAGCAACACTTCCTTTGTTTCAAACAGCCAAGACGGCTCCCTTTAAAATGCATTTTGCTGGCGTACAGATATGATCAGGTTCAGTTATAAGGCCGAAGGCAGAAGAAGCTGAGACGCTGGTAGCTTGCTCCTTTCCTTCCCTTCCCCACCTGCCTGCTTTCCACTGTCTCCGACTCCAGGCTTGGCACTGTAAGGTTTCAGGGCCCATGTAGCCCCCTTATCAGGCACTTTACGTCAATGACAAAAAAGGCCACAAGGCCTTTAGTTAGATGCTCAGCTGGCAACAGCAGACAAAGGCACCTGTCCGTTGGTTCCTGCAGCGCTAGATGCCTCCTTCCACCTCTCCAGTTCAGCTTCTAGGCATGCTCTTCTGTACTTGGCTGCTTTTTTTTTTAACCCATTTTTGCCTCTTTCTCATTTCACCTGACCTCTGTACTCCCTATTTTCATTATTCCATAGTCATATCCATTGTATCTCACTTCAGGTGGTTTTGTTTGTTTGCGTGTTTGTTTGTTTTACACTTTATATTCATTCCCAACATTTTAAGGAAAGCAAGTTACTGGAAGAGCATAGCTTTTACCAACTATGGTACTGTTTTCTATACTTATATATAATTTCCGCCTGCCCTTTGTTTAGTCTATTCAGACTGAGCTCTTCAGAGAGGCTTTCTTTTAATCTACGCTTGTGCAGCAGATCCCCATATATTAGATCCCAGTGTTGGCTGGGTTCCCCAGGTTCATACAGAAATAATTAATGGATAGAACTGACACGAGACAGACTCATTTGCAACTTTTCTGCAATAATGGCAGAAGGTTCAACCCTTCACCCGTAAAGGAAACAAGTCACTGATGAAGTGATACAATTCTCTAACTAAGTCCTAAAATAGTCCAGGATTTCAGAACTGGGGCCCTGATCCTTTTATAAGTTCCCCAGTGCACAGTTGGAGATAAAAGCATGCAATCTTCCACATCACTTGAATGCTCTTCTGCCAAGGGGGACTCTTTCTACCAGTGGAAGGGAGTACTCCCACTTTGAAGCTATCTTTTGGAAGTTTTATTATGGTGTTTTTTATGAATGTGGTACTGGGATACAGCTCTTGAAACTGCAGCCTTCAATCTACCCAGCTAAAGCAGGAAATGGAGGGTGGCAGCCCGCTCTTCTTCAGTGTCATGCCAACTTGAACAAATCATATGTAATGATGCTAAAGGAGGCACCTAAAACTTGTGGGAGGGGAGCCTGCATTTTGGCTGCAAGTGCCAAGCAACTCAGAAGAAGCTAGCCGAGCGTTGGATACCCCATTTCCTCTTTGAAGAGATACTGGCCAAACAAAGTAGCACCCTGCCATAAGCTCACACCTTCCCCAGGATAGGATCTCTCCACAGACTTCCTAGGACTGAATGTTAGGATACTCATCTGCTTTTCATAGCTTTTTCATAGTTAAACAGTTGAAGACTTCTAAATAGGAAACTCCTGGTAACTCTGCAGATCTGTGATACCTGACAGAATAGGAAGACCCAGAGCAGCGAGAGCCCCGTTCCTGCCTTCTAGTTCCTGCCACTGTTCCTCCATTCTAGGTCCAGCCACTTCTTTTTTTTTTCCTTTTTGGATCTCCAGTAGAACAATGTTACCAGGCCTCCTTCAGCCATCTGCTGCTGCCTCTGGAAGCTCTCTGAGATGACACAAGTGAAACACTTCAGCTAAGAAACGGTCCCAAAGAGATCCTAATAATGACCTAATGAAAAGCTATCAGAGGCCCAGCCAAAGCTCAAGTGGGAGCATTTCCTCTAGTAGTTAAGTACTCTGCAAGTGTAGGTTATTATAAACGCCGAGATTACGTGGTGTAAGATTTTCACCACTCTGATGCAGCGCATGCTGTGCTCCTAGGAATCTCTTCTGTTTGCTCCATACACTGACTGCAAGCCGACATGCAAGAGGATTCGTTTCTGGTCAGAGGCAATTTTGAAATTATGCAAGTAAGGAGATGGACACATCACCATGCGTTTAACAGCTATGGCAGTACTGCTAGTTATCTAATGAACATGTGAACTGCTACAAAATACTGACTGCAGGAAGAGATGTAAAGATGCTGTTAGTCACCGCAGCACTGTGCATGTGCAGAGTAGGACTGGGGCCGTGCTGTTGAGTAAGCTATTCTGAAGCATTACAAACTGGCCCAGCATAGCCATTGGCATCAAGGAGCTTTATTTAACCTCTTCAGCAGCCGTTCCAAAGATATGGTTAAGGCTGTGGTGCTCTCAAATTAGAAGAAGGCTACTCAGAGGAAACCAAGGTTCACTGGCATTTAAGAAAATATTTAAATTGTTTTTTACTGTAAGAATATTGTGTTATGGAAGATATTTATTTCATTTTACCATAAGGTTAGGCTTTCTAGAGAGACTAGGTAGATTTGGCTTTTTCTATTATAAGCAGACTGTATTTCTCATTAACTCATTGAGTTTGCTTTCTTGATTTGTTTTTAATTATAGACTGATTAAACAAGATAGGATTTCCCTGAGTAGTGCTGTTCACTTTGGACTTCATACAGAGTTTATATTTCTCCAGTTTCCTGTGAGATGTTCAGTCAATAAGTGACAAATGTTAGCACAACAGTAAAAGTAGGGAAGGATCATATTCTAGAATACGTGTTAGTAGGTACATTTTCCAGGTCATCAAGAGAATGAGGACACTCTGGAACAGAAGGAGGTATTTCCTAACTATCCTTTCTTATCCTTGACTTCAAAGCAAATAAGATCCAGGCCCAAAATACTTGGAATAAAAAAGAAAATGGAAGGTTAAAAAAAGTAAAATCACAAAATAGTGAAAAGCTGAATTTGTGTATACACTAATATACAACACTCTGTAAGAACTGGAGTAGTCATCTCTGTAGAAAAGCAAAGTTATTTTATTTATGTGACATTAACTTTACTCTTGTATGGTCCTCCTCTGAACATTTCTAGCTCCTTTCCAGCTTCTCATACAATTCAGCTTAGCATCTCTACCAGACAGACACCATCAGCTCCTAATACTGAAGTGCCCTTTACTTAAGTAAAGGCACACCCTTTACTAATATTAACTGTAGGATAGCGAAGAAGCTGCATTTGACTATAATCTTGCCTTGGATTGTTATGGATGGAAGAGAAAGGCAGACAACATGCTTTCGGGGGGTAAAATGTAGATACCATGATGGGAGTGTGGAAAAACATACAATATTGTCATTTATGTAAGTACAAGTGCCTGTTTATTTGTTTCAATTTAAGGGTAAAATGATGTCTCTTCAATGTTAGAAGTGTTTAATGCAGTTTTAGATAATCCAGGTCAGCCCTACCCTAGCATAGAAGACCATCCTTAAAGTAGCCCATCTAGTTTCATTATGCAAGCTAAATAAACCACAGAAATTAAACCAAGAGCGGAAAAACAACTAAGACTTAAAACTGTGTTGGGAATACTCCAAAGTCTCATTAATAGATGAAAAAGTATGATTATCTTATTAAAAGTACTACCACCCATACAGAAGCTCTGATCAAAACAATAATTAAACCACCAATAACCATCTCCCTGCATCATTAAATACTTTTGTACAAATAAATTAACTCTGCCAGGCTGAAACATCAAATGGAGATAATTTACCTCAAACAACTAATAAGTCCAAATACAAAGAAAGCCTCTCTCATTCTTACCCGGGAAAGCACTAGCATCCTTCTTCCAAAAAAAGCTATCAAATAACTGATCTTGACAGCATCCCTATAAATTTCTGTATTTACACCACCACTGATAAATCAATGAACCATGTGGCTTGAGATAACAACCTGTCCCTTTGCCAGTGGTGAAAACTGATTCTCTTCCAACTCACACATACAGCTGGGCAGGAATATTTATTTCTGAGCAAAGTAAATGGACACTCAAGTGCAATTGTTGATATGCAGAACCTGGCAACAAATCAATATTGACTTTAAATAACCAATTTATACCATTACTTTTTAATATCTATGAATCTTGTTAAAACACCATAGCATGCCATCACGAAGCAGCTAAGCCTGCTTAATTTCTTTTGGTTTGTGGGTTTATTGAATTTGAGGCTTTAAGAATCCTGTTACTGGTTGGTGAGTGTCAGTTTCTAGTTTTTCTCTGTTATTGGCTTCCTTTGAAATATCTCCTGAGCTCTTATGTCTCTACTTCAATTTGATTTTTTTTTTTTTCCTGAGAAGGGTGCAGGTCTGAAGTTGGTACGTGTATATTACTGCCTTCACTCTCCACAGGCAGCCAGCGCCAATATTATTTAAGTTCTCAGGGGCATAGATTAAAACAGACCTAGTGAGCCTTTATTTCTATTCCTGTAAGTAATGTAAATGATCGTAAGTGAATTAGATAATGGGCCAGACCATGTGAAATTGCATTCTTGAGCTACATAGGCAGCAGTGCTCATGTATATATTATCTTGCAGCCTCATTATCAAAAATTTAAGATCAGGGTTAAGCAAAATGCCTAGATTCCTGAGGCCAGAGTCAAAATTTAAACCCAGAAATGAGATGCAGAAATCAGGAGTTGAAATTCCTAAAAAGCGTGAACTAACCTCTTCAGATGCACCGCTGAGAAGAGGACAGGACGGAGGTACTTGAGCAAAGCAGCGCTTCTAGAGAACTTCATCAACTGTCGCCCATGCTGTACCTGTTTAGGGGAAAGCAGAATAATACAGTCTCAGAAGTGTCTTTTTCTGGAAGTTTTTGCTGGTAGAAAACTCAACAGAGTGTAAAATTACTGATTTGAAGGAGATCTGAGCTGAGGAACCTTATGTTAGCATAAGGGATTAATATACATCTTTAAGAGTATCTCACAAGACAAGTTGGGCCTGTTTATGGAAGCGAGGACACAGGAAGCGTTATGGAGGAAGGAAACTTTCTTTTCTAATGAGCCAGCTTCTACACCTTCTTTGACACGCCACTTTTGGCCATGATTTGTGACTCTATTTAGCAATTAAACAGTTTTACATGTTTATTCATTCTCTTCTTTAATTTAACAGAAAGTTCTACAACAAGTATAACTGTACTGCCATAGGGAAAAATCGGAGAACTACAAGGTGCTTCCCGCAGTAGATACAGTAATCAGCATAGCCACAGGCAGCTGTATTTGTGTACAGGTTCTTTAAGAAACGCCACCTAATTTTAGGAGCATTTATACTTAAAACAGTGAGAGTCAGATCTCACGCCTACAACTGCTGCTACACGGTCAGGAAGCGGGCCCTTGCCTTTAAAGCGTCACTGAACAGCTGGCTGTTCGGGGCGTTATTTTGTCTTCTTGTGCGCCGTCCATTAGGAACTGTCTCTGGAGAGAGGACAGTAAACCAGGAGGACCGGCCTGATCCGTTCTAACAAACCCGATATTCCTAAATCATGCTTTGTAGGCCCCAGATTAACTTACCTCATGGTTTCCCCTTTGTGTCTAGAAAGATTTATTGTTTTTATTCAACCTGAAAATCCATGGCATTAGATATATTAGGATACCCACAGGTGGTTCTTTTGTCATCCTATCACTGCAGTGGGAAGATAGCAAAATAAATCAATAAAAACAATGTCTTGGTTGATGCGTGGGGAAACCAATTTGTGGTTGAATATACAGCTCTGCAACAGACTGCCTTGTGTGCAGACAGCACGCGGCATCATGGCTGCCACTCACTGGCGATCTCAGATATGCTTTCTGTTTTCTTAAAGCAGCTTTTCCCCATCACTACGGTTTCTATCTAATTCTGTGTCCCTTTTAAAGTAACAGTTTCTTGTCATTTTTCTGATATATGCTGGACTGAGGGTTATTTTTCCACAAGTCATGGTTTTTTTTTCATTTGAACACAACATTTGCAAAAAAGGTCTAACATAAAGGTGGTTTTCAGTTACCACTATCCGATGCGCTGCATTTGTTCTCAAAGACCATACGCAGCTCATGCCAGCGCTGCCTTCTGCTATGCCTCCATTTTACTCCCTGTTGAGATTGAAGGTGAGGAGCTGCAGTCTATTTAGGTGATCATGGTTGTTGCAACAGAAAACCACAGCTATTTTCCAGTGTGAAATTTATTAGAATCGATGTATTTCCTTCTGGTTATAACAGAAAAAAAGTATGCGTATTCAGAGTCTTTAGTTATCCTCCCAGGTCTGCGAGGGGAAGCAGGGTGTGTATGGAGGAGAAAAGCAGTTGATCACTAAATCCATTCATTTGTGCTGCGTGAAGAACCCAGAATGGAGGCTGCTGGAGTGAAGTGAAGTGTAAGAGAACTAAGCCACAATTTACCCGATAGCAGCATTCCCCACACTCTTTTTCGTTAGGAACATGATGGACATTACCAGGCACAGCCACAGTCACCCAGCTCCTGCAAAAGCAGCAGCATCTGTAGGGATCTAGCAATCTCTGCACCCGCAGACGAAGGGAACTTTGTCCTACTCCTGCTAAGTCAATGATGATTTCGTAGCATCAGCCATTGAAGGACATCCACCTTGGTTTCTTGGTGTCGTATTAAGGGAAGACCGGCATTGTTTGTCCTGCAGATGTGGCTGATAAATTTCTGCTCTTACTTTGAATACAGAATGCAAGTGCACATCCAAAAAGTGAAATATATAAACAGCAAACAAAGACTGTTTCCTACAGGCTGCTATGCCTACTCTATGGAATATTTTTCACCTTGGCAATCAAATATAGGAGGTATTCAGTGGAGGTAATTATGCATTAAAAATGGTCATCTTGTTTTCCAGGGGCTCAGGTTTAAAATCCCCCTGCTGCGCAGCCAGGTGCCATTTTGTGTACCTGTTACAAAAGCGATACTCCGCGTCTCACCGTCAGGGATAGCATTTGTTAATTGTTTCCAAAATAACCTAGAGTGAGTAAACATTTAGCTAAACAGCTAAAACATGCATAAGGTGCCCTATACAATTTTCAACACTATCAGCTGCAGCTGCAGCTACAAGATGCTCATGTAGCAAGAACAGTCATGCCAGATGTTAGGTATGAACCCACTTGTTTCTACTGTACTTCACCAGCGGGCTTTCACTGCAGAGAGCGAGCAGCAACACTCTGACCTAGCATAAACACCATCCAGAGCTGCTTCACCATCACTTCCTTTATTTTTTGGCAACTGAACACCTAAATTACATGTGCTACGCAGCACTTTGATAAAGTCAATGTCAGGCATAATTAGCAAAGCAAGGAAAAAGTAGGGCTATTTTCACCCTGTGACGGTTGTGTAGAGATCCTGCTGAGGCAGTAAAAGCCTCTCCATGTCCTGGCAAACCTGAGCCCCTTCCACGACCAGGGCCTTCGTGCTTTCTTTGCATCAGACACGAATGATCAAGAAGACATATGGTGGGACTGGGAGCCAGGACTTGGTTATTTATGAGAAGGTGACGGGGTCAGTGCAGTTGCTACTGTAAAGCAAGCAAAAGACTTTTTAACATTCAGAGTTTGCTGCAGTAAGAAAGCGCATAGCGTTTTTAATTATCAAAACTGCTGATTTTGAGTTTCCTTTGCTGTTTTATGTCCCCGGTAGAGTCAGATTTTTTTGTTTTTGGTTCAAAAACTGGACAGCAGAGGGTGCCAAATCCCCAAGAGGGAGAGCACCCAGGCCTGCTGAGCCTCTCATGCATCACCTTAATTCCCCGGTGTTGATAGCTCTACTCCAGCACGAGTGGTCAGGCCACAGCGAGACACTTCAGAGCTCCATCTGCGCTGAGAGCTGCAGTCGAGGGTATTATCTCATTTGGTTGTGTCAGCACTTCCATTACAGTTTATAACCTCTTACTTTGTGGATCAATCTAGGCTATTGCAAGCCAAGTTATTTTCCCTCTGATGTGCAATTGGCACTCAATGTTATCTCAGGAATCTGAAGCCATGCTTTGTTATCAGGATGTTGCAGAGACGACTCGCTAAATTAAAAGCAAGTACTTGATCTTGCAGAGCTGAGCATAAGCCCTCCCCCACCTTTAACATGCGGTGCAAATATGACACTGCCATCGAGGAACTAAATCTGTTTAACTTATATCATTTGTACACGGTGTTTTACTTTGGACAAAGAAACACGAGGTTAAAATATCAACAGCTCTGAAATCCCATTATCATCCTACAGTGAGTTATGAAATGAGGCAGTATTATATCAGCCGGCATTTCTTCCTGTTCTAATAAAAAGATACACATTCTGCCGTTTCTGCAAACACTACTCATGGGAATGAGTCGGAAGTTGGTCCTCGAGTGGTAACTAGTTTCCATAACTTCTAAAGCAGCCTACAAATTATTCCGATTGTATATAGGAGCCACATCCTGAAGCCTTTCTTGCATGCAGAGGCTTAGTCTTCGCCCGAGTCAAAATGGCAGCACTCGGTCCAAAGCGCATTTGCGTCTCTTGTGGGGGGGCACCTGCTCCTGTCGGGAGGACAAGCGTGCTCAGCCCGCCCGCTCTGCTCTTCGCCTACCTGACACACGTACTCACTGTCCCCTTAGTTCTGCGCAGGAATGGAATCCGTCATTCCTAATTGAAAATTTTGCAGATAACAAGTGATAATTCGCAAACAGTTACTCACTTTGAATGAGTTATACAGGCTTCTGTTTACTTCCTCTAGCTATTTGTCAGTTTTATCAGTCACTTATCAACAGGAGCCCAAAACAGGCCACATTTTACCCATTCATCATCCACTCCTGTCTCTGGGACATGCTCAATATATATTGCACATGCCATAGCACTGGTGAGACAGTTTATAATATAACACTGCCGGCAAAACTAAGCATAAAATAGTTGTTTTTTTTCAACGACAACAATAAGTAGGATGCCTCATAACAGGAGTAAAATTTTGAGGCGGTCCCAACTCTAAGGTCTAATAAATTAAGTTACTTCAAAGTGTCGGTAAGCAGGACAGTAGGCGTTGTGACAAGCGTGGCTCTTAAGGCCGGGCTTCAGCCAGGAATACCCGAAAGCCCTGCGCAGTACTTTGGGGAGGATGTTTTTTGAACCGGGGAAAGCACGAAGGGCCTGTGAGGCGGCTCTGCCGGCCGGGGAGGAGGCACAGCCAGACGGTCCTGTTTCAGCCCTTCCGATGGCTGGATGCAAACGTTAAGGGGTAGGTGGCTTCAGGAAGCGAAGAGGGCCGATGAGGCCGCAGGGGAGGCCGGCAGGCGGGGTGGGAAGACGACACCGCACGGGCCCGGCGAGAGCCCGCTGCGTCCTC